CCCGCGTCCCCAAGCGCGGACCCAGCCCCGACGTCGCCTCTCCCCGGCGCTCCCGCCTGTCCCGTCCCCGCGGGACGTAGGCTCCGCGCTTCACTTGCGTCTCTCGGGCCCGAGGTCAGCGCGGCTGGGGCGCGGGCACCGCGTGCGGGAGGCGGGGAAGAAAGAAGACACCAAACCCCGGCCCTCCTGCCCGGGCCCCGCGCCCCGGCGGCTCCGCTAGAAACCCACCGAGCGCGCCGAGCCTACGGAGCCGAGCCCAGGACGGGAGGAGCACGACGCCCGCGAGAATGGCGAACTCGGAGGTCCGAGGCTGGAGGGATGGGGCCTGCCTCCTCACACTCTCCCCAGCCCTAACCGTCCACTCGGTCCCAGAGGTCCCAGGGTCCCAGGACCGCTCACACCCCGGGTCCCGTCTGGGTCCCAGGATCCTCCCCCCCCCCCCCCCAGCGCCCAGCTCTCAGCTTGGTGCGGTGTGACCGCCCATCATCGAGGTCCGTGCGCCAGAGGCAGCAGGGTGGTCTCCGCTCTGCTCACGTGGTCTCACTAGGGTGGTCTCCGCTCTGTTCACGTGGCCTCACGTCCACACTAGGGTCAGCCACACGGGCAGACGCGCACTGTCTTGATTTGGATCTTTCTTTTTACCTGAGTGCTCCCGAGTCAACCTCCAAAGCTGTATTTAACAAATACGAAGAACGTCCACATCCTCCTTTCTTACAAGAAAAACTCAGTCTTTCACAATGTGTATCATGTTGACTGTGATTTTTCCCGTTTTCTATTGTTTCAAAGTGGTTTTCTTAGATTTATTGCTTGTAGTGTACTTTTATCATGAAAAGATGTTTGCTTTTGTCAAATGCTTTTTCTAATTGAAGTTATTGTACCCTTTTTTACTTCCTATTAATGGAATGTATTGTGTTGATAAATTTACATCGAACTATTCTTGCATTACAGAAATAAATCCCACGTGGTCATGGTTTATCATTCTTTCAGCATATTGCTGATTCCATTGACTAGTATTCTGCTGACTTTTTTTCATCCTTGTTCAGAAGGGCAAGTTTCTGTAATTTTCTTGGGGTTTTTATCGGCTCTGGAATTAGGGTACAATCCCTAGATTACAGTAAGAAATTTTCCCTCTTCAGTATTTCAGAAGAGCTTGAGAAGGGTTGGTTCTTTGTCATATGTCCTCGTCATCACAGGGCTTTTCTTGTTAGTAGATGGTATGGTTTGGTTCGATAGTACTGGCGATTGAACTCCAAGCCTTGAACTTGTTAGACAGGTGCTTTTGAGCCATGCCCCCAGCTTTTTTGCTTTGGCCATTTTTCAAGGTAGTATTTTGCTGTATGTTTGGTGGGACCCCCTAAGCCGTGATCTGCCTACTTGTGCTACTCTGTGTTGTTTGGGGATGGCAGCCATTATGCTTATTCCTACTTAAGTTAACAGGTACATAGCACCATGGCCAGCCATTGGTTAAGAAGGAGCCTCTATTATGCCCAAGTTGGCCTTGAACCATGATCCCCTGATCTCCTAAGTAGCTAGGATTGCAGGATTGTTCACCCATCTTTTGGTAGGTTTCTGATTACAGGTTCAATCTCTTCACTGGTGATATATTTATTCAAATTTTGTATTTCCTTATGGTTTAGTGTTGGTAGATTTTGCATTTGTCTTTCCATTTTTCATAATTAGTGAATATTTGTTAATTTTGTTGATCTTTTAAAAAAAACTGTTCCATTGAGTTAACTTTTTTCTATGCTTTATTGGACTGATTTATGTTCTGATCTTTATTATGCCTTCCCTTCTACTAGCTTTGAATTAATTTTCTAGTTCCTTAAATTATAAAGTTAGGCTGTTTAATTTGAAAACTTTCTTTCATGGTGTGTGTGTGTGTGTGTGTGTGTGTGTGTGTGTGCTCGCGTGTGCTGTAGAGCTTGTACTCAGGGTCTGTGGGCTGTCCCTGTGTGTGTGTGTGTGTGTGTGTGCGCGCGCACATGTGTGTGCTGTAGAGCTTGTACTCAGGGTCTGTGGGCTGTCCCTGAGCTTTTTTCCTCAATGGTATAGCAATCTACTACTTAAGCCACAGCTCAACTTCTGCTTTTTTGTAGTTTAGTGGAGATGAGTCTCATAGACTTTCCTGTTTCCTGCCCAGGATAGCTCCAAGTAGCTAGGATGACAGGAAGAGCCACCACTGCCAAGCGCTTTTTTTTTTTTTTTGTCAGCTGTAGGGCTTGAACTGTCCCTGAGCTCCTCAGCTCAAGGCAAGCACTCTACCATTTGAGCCACAGCACCACTTCCTGTTTTCTAGTGGTTAATTGGAGTTAAGAGTCTCACAGACTTTGAACCATGATCCTCAGATCTCAGCCTCCTGAGTAGCTAGGATTACAGGTGTGCACCATTGGTACGTGGCACTTGGAACATCTTATACAATTGCATTATCTAATAATATTTATTCCAAGGCATATACAATTAAAAACAAAGTAAAAAAAGAAATGTTTAGCGAGTGAGAAAAAGGGTGACATTGTCCAAAAAGAAATGCACTCTTTACCTGAATTATGTAACTGTAATCGCTCTATACATCACCTTTATTTTTTTATTTTTATTTTTGTCTGTCATGGGGCTTGAACTCTGGGTCTAGGCACTGTCCCTCAGCTCTTAAGCTCAAAGCTAGCGCTCTACCACTTGAGCCACATCACCGCTTCCAGTTTTCTGAGTGGTTTATTGGAGATAAGTGTCTCACAGACTTTTCTGCCCAACCTGGCCTCCTGAGTAGCTAGGATTACAGGTATGAGCCACCAACACCTGGCTATATCACCTTTATAATAACAGTAAAAACAAAATTTTAAAACCTGTTCTGAGGCCAGGCACTAGTGTCTCATGCCTGTAATCCTACCTACTCAGGAGGCTGAGATCTGAGGATCTCAGCACAAAGTCAGCCCAGGCAGGAAAGTCGTGAAACTCTTATCTCCAGTAAACTGCATACTCAGAAAAAGCCAGAAATGGTGCTGTGGTTCAAGTCATAGAGCACTCGTCTTGAGTACAAAGACACGCAGGGACCGTGCTCAGAGACTTGAGTTCCAGCTGCAGACTGGTAAAACAAAGACAAATGTTCTAAGAAAATTAAAAAAAAGAAAAATATGTATAGTACTCATTTTGTGCGGGAACAAAGGGAGGATGTGGGGATGTAGTTCAAGACTGGAAAAAAAGTTGTTACTGTGATCAGCAGGGAAGGAAGCACCTGGGTATCAGTGAATGTTATTCTTTTAAGAAGATTAAGACAGTATACAGCTGGGCATCCAGTGGCTCATCTGTAATCCTAGCTACTCAGGAGGCTGAGATGGAGGTTCATGGTTCAAAGCCAGCCGGGGCAGGAAAGTCCATGAGACTCTTATCTCCAATAAACCACTAGAAAACTGGAAGTGGTGCTGTGGCTCAAGCCACAGAGCTCGCCTTGGGCTGAACAGCTGAGGGATAGCACTCAAGCCCAGAGTTCAAGCCCCATGACCGACAAAAAAAACCCAAAAAGACAGTAAGGCTGGGAAGGTGGCTCAGTGGTAGAGCACTTGCCTTGAGCTGAAGAGCTGAGTGGCAGCGCCCAGGCCCAGAGTTCAGGCCCCACGACCGACCAACCAAAAAAAAAAAAAAATCACAATGTTTGGGCTAGGAAGGTGGCTCAGTGGTAGAGCACTTGCCTTGCATGCCTGAGGCTCTGAGTTCGATTCCTCAGCACCACATAAGCAAAAAGAAAAAAAAGCCGGAAGTGGTGCTGTGGCTCAAGTGGTAGAGCGCTAGCCTTGAGGGACAGTGTCCAGGCCCAGAGTTCAGGCCCCACGACCGGACCCCTCCCCCCAAAAAACAAAAAAAAACCCTAAAGGACAGTATAAAAATGTCAGTCTTGGGGCTGGGAAAGTGGCTCAGTGGTAGAGCGCTTGCCTTGCATGCACGAGGCCCTATGTTCGATTCCTCAGCACCACATAAGCAGGAAAAAAAAGCCAAAAGTAGCGCTCTGGCTCAAGTGGTAGAGTGCTAGCCTTGAGCTGAAGAACTGAGGGACAGCGCCCAGGCCCAGAGTTCAGGCCCCATGACCGGACCCCAAAAATAAATATATAAATAAATGTCAGTCTTAAGGTCTGCACATTGTCAGGTCCAGCAACAACACAAGAACAAGATGGGTCAAAGCTGTGCCTTAGTGGGGAGGAAAGAATGGTGTACTGGAGCAAAGTCATTCTGGAAGCAGAAGAGAGTATTATTTGAAATATGTCCTTAACATTATGATGTCACTAGGAAAAGTTATCAGTGATTTTTTTACTTTTTTTTTCTTTTGTAGGTCATGGGGCTTGAACTCTGGGCTTGGACACCGTCCTTGAGCTCTTCAGCTCAAGGTGAGCACTCTACCACTTGAGCCACAGCACCACTTCTGGTTTTCTAATGGTATATTGGTGATAAGAGTCTCACAGACTTTTCTGGTAACAAGAGTCTCACAGTCTTTTCTGGGCTGGGTTTGAATGGTGATTCTCAGATCTCAGCCTCCTTAGTAGCTAGGATTACAGGCATGAGCCACCAGTGCCCAGCTCTGATTTTTTTACTTTTATAAATATATTTGCTGACATTAAAGTGTTAAAGCATAACATTCTATCATAAAAATGAGTCATTAACTTAATGTACTCATACCCTATGGTTAGACCTTGTCATTTTTTAATTTTTCCTGTTTATACCTAGGTATTTATGATTCTTGTCAATCTTTGGTCACATTCATGGCTAGTAGGAGACAGTATATTCACTGAGTCAAAGGATATGAAAGAGAATATTGATACATACTGCTGATTTGTTCCTTCTTCCAAGCTTTATAATGAAAGTGACAACACCATTGCCTGCACTGTCATTTTTTTATTTTAGCCATGTTAATAAGTAAAAAAATGATATGTCATTAATCTTTTGCCTGTCTCTCATTTGTTGCAAATAATTTCAATCCCTGAATCTCTTTTGTGGTGTTTTTGGTGTCCAGAGCATTTTTATGTGTTTGATGTCTGTTCAATGTGTTGTTGTTGTTGTTGTCAGTCGTGGGGCTTTGAACACTGGGCCTGAGCGCTATCCCTCAGCTCTTCAGCTCAAGGTGAGTGCTCTTCCACTTGAGCCTCAGTGCCACTTCCAGTTTTCTGGTGGTTTACTGGAGATAAGAGTCTCATGGACTTTCCTTCTCAGGCTGGCTTTTAACCGAGATCCTCAGATCTCAGCCTCCTGAGTAGATGATAGTTGTGAACCACTGACACCTGCTTAATGTGTTTTTTTTAAGGCTTTCAAAATTCTTCCTTTTACCCAGGCCCTGAGTTCATGCCCCATGACAAAAAAAATTTTTTTAAAGCCCCCCCAAAAATTTTCCTGCCAGGCTCCACTGGCAGGCAGCAAAGTCCCTGAGACTTATCCCTAATTAACCACCAGCACTGTGGTTCAGATGGTAGAGGGCTGGCCTTGAACTGAAGAGCCCAGGGATAGCTCCCAGGCCCAAAGTTGAAACCCCACGACACGCCAACAAAACAAACTTTTCCTCTTGTTGAAGATAACATTGTTCCCCCTGCCAAAGTTAACTAATTTTTCTAACCTTACTTGGCGAGTCCTTTTTGCCTATGAATTCAGTACTTTTTTGTCTACCATGTTCAGTGCCTATTGAATCCGATGCATAAAGAGAGAGGGAGATAGTTATTTTGTGCTTTTGGACTCTGAGTGTTGTTTGCTTCTCGTTCCTTGTAAGAGAATGTTGCCTCTTTCCTCACAAGCTGCTTAAGAGGTTCACTTTTCTAAATCTTACCTGGAATTCTTGTTTTAGCAAAGAGATGTGTTACCCACAGGGTAGGGAGAGGAGCGGAGGCCCCTTCGTGGCGACCCGTGCTGGCGGTCTCATCCTGGTGATGAAAATGCACCTGACTGGCGCTGGCTTCTGAGGTGACAATTGCCGCGGCGTGTGGCACTTTACATCTAAAGGAAAGCAGAGTCTCGGGAGGGCACTCCAGTCTCGGTGGGCGCGGCCACCGCAGGCAGGACGGCACCAGCGGCAGACCGCGCGGGCAGCGCCTGGGGTCCGCGGAACCGAGTGGGCACCAACGGGTCGCGGTCCGCGGACGGAGGACCCGTGCTGCCGGCGTGGGGCGCCACCCGATTCTCCACGGCCACCGGGAGGAGGTGAGGGCTGCGGCCGAGCAGGGAGCCAGGCTCTCCCAGAGCTTCCGAGGCCTCGGCGGCCGTGCGAGATGGGCAACGGCGACCCGAGCTCGGCTGGGGCCGCGCAGGCCCTCCGCCCTCCGGGGGCCTCTGCCATCGGGCCGGCGCCATCCCTCCCTCACCCCACGCCCTTGGCCCCGGCCTCCATCCACTGCATACTGGCTCTCACCCTCTGTCCCGGCTTCCAGCACGTTCCGGGAGGCGACGGGCCTGGTAGACTGTCGGACCACTTGCACCTTCGTTCTCGGAAGCCCAGGGCAGGCGCAGGGCGACTGTGGTCGGAGCTTCCCTGGCTCTGACAGGTCCGGAGGGAGCCGGAGGAGCTGGAGCTGAGGCTCCGCCAGCCCGGCCGGGGGCGGGAAGGGGGCGGTGACGCCTGCCGTCTCACGCCGGGCTACGATCTGCTGGAGCGTCTTGGGTACCCAGGTCCGGCGGTACTGAGGCGGGTGGGCGGGGGTGTGTATTCTGACCCCCGCCCCCGGTCCCCTCAGGCCCCGCCCCTCCTGGCCCCGCCCCCAGCCCGCCAGCGCCCCCGCTGATTGGCCCCTCCGTTTGTCCCCGTGAGCTGGCGGCCCGGCCCGCGCGTCACGTGGTCGAGCAGCGTCCGTGGCGCCGGGTGGTGGGAGCCCGGCATGGATCCTCTAGCGAGTGGGACCCTGGCGCCGAGAGTCGCGGGGCCACCTCCGGGCGCCCCGCTGCCCAGCGCGAGGGCGTCTCTCCCCGGGCTGGAGGTGAGCGCCGCGGGGC